CCAAGGCATTAAAAGGAATTCCATATATATAGAGAGAGAATATAAGAAAACAATTTTCCTACATCTGATCTTTCTAACAGAGCATCAAATCTAGTTTATGATAATCAAATCAGAACAGCACACACACACACACACACACACACACACACACACACACACACAAGTGCAAATGAAGTACCACATACAAATCCAAACGCCAATTAAGTAATTGAACATATAAAATAGTAAATCGTAAAATCACAAAGCAAGAAAAAACAAAATTCAACAGCGATCTACAAAGCTCCATTCGCTTCTACAAAATTAGACAATTATATATATATATATATATATATATATATATATATATATATATATATATATATATATATATATATATATATATAAGCATATATATTTATAAAGAAGCATATATATTTGTCTTCTTCTTTTTGTTTTTTTTTTTCGAGAAGAAGGACCTTATAAAAAATTTCGACCGAACTCCAAGGGTTAATTTTTCAAGAATCTCCACTTTTCTACCTTATACACATTGGCTAAAAGAAAGAACACCTTTTCTCCGAGGCTCAAATCAAGGTTCTAAGGAATTTCGATGAAAAGGTCGGCTTAAAAGCTCAAACGGTTCAAAGAACGCCCAAATCATATCCCAAATCACTCACTACTCAATACTTCGTATCATAAATTTCCTAAGGTGAGTTCTAAAACCGAACATAGCATGATCTAGCACAAATTAATTCCAAATTTAAAATAGAAAAAATACAACCAAAGCAATGCACAAAGTGTGATTCCTAGCAATAATTCGCTTCTAAGTTCCATTGAATCGAAAGCTAAACAAACATCTAATCCTTTTCACACAAAACAAACAATCTCATCATCAAACATTGATCATCTCTCATCATCATAAACCATCGATGCATTCGACTCAATTTTTTTTTGTTTTTTTTTGTTTTTTTTTTTTTGTTTTTTTTTATATATTCCGGAAAAATTATAAAAGAAAATAAAAACTAACGCATGCAAACTAAAACAAATAAGCACAAAAACATGTTTTTCACCCCCAAACTTAAAATTTTCGTTGCCCTCAACGAAATTAGCACAAAGTTTAAGGATAGAAAACACCTGATTTAGTTGGAGTCAATGTGATCGGGGTTCTCCTCCCTAGCTCTCTCACGCTCCTCATCATCGGAAAGCTCGGGTACGGGCGGTGGCACTTTGGTTTCCCTTTCCCTTCCCTTTGGAGGATGATGCTTCGCTCGTGCGGCCTCGTTTGTTGGACGACATAGTTGGGAGAGAGGTTTGAATAGATTCGGTGAGAATTGGTTGACAATCAAACTCAAAATTTGGTTGGAGCAAATTGTCGAACACCTTGTGGGCGTGCCTTGAAAGAGTAGATTTTGGAGAATTTGGTTTGATTCTCTAGCATCCTTGTGTGTGGGATTTGGAGAGAATGAACGAGGAGGGTTTAGGAAATAATGGGGGAGAAAATATGATTTTTTAAATTTAAAACGCCACGAAAATAGTCGGACGGCCTTCCCGGTTTTTGTGCTACATTTCGGACGGCCGTCCGAAATGTGTCTCTCGTTACTGGTTTTGGGACGGCCGTCCCACATGCTGTGATGCTGGATTTTGCCTTCTGTTTCCCGGACGGCCGTCTGGGATTTTGCTTGTAATTTCGGACGGCCGTCTGGACCCCCTGACCATGTTTTCGACCCTGAAAATTAAAATTCATATAAATTAATTAGAATGCATGCCTATGATAATAAAAACGAAAAAAAAAAGTAAAGAAAACTACGAAAAACAATAAAGATCGGGTTGCCTCCCGAGAAGCGCTAAGTTTAAAGTCTTCAGCCGGACGTTGCTTCTTTATTTCAAGCAAAAGTGACCGAAGTCACTTGGCAATCTTCACTCGCTTCCCAATACAGTTTGAGACGGCTCCGCTTCACGTTGAACGTAGTATTTGAATCTCGCTCCTTTATTTTGACCACTTCGTGAGGAAGAATCTCTTGGACAATAAATGGTACCGGACCACTTTGATTTGCGCTTCCTTGGGAATAACCACAGCCGTGATTTGCATAATAACACTAATTGTCCTTTGTGTAATTTCATTTTGACTTTTCCTTACGACCTCAATAGCTTGACTCATCCTTCTCTCGTGGCTTGCTCGAGTCTTTGGGTGGCAACATCTTCCTTGCACTTTCATCGTCGTTAAGACCCCAAATCTTATGACTTTCTCTTGGAGGAGTTGAAATTGAGTTCACAAAGTAAACTTGCTCCTTCCGATTCCCGTTTCCGCCATCATCTCCTGCACTCAAAGATACTTTCCCATTGTCCAAGTTCAAAACATCAAATTTTTTATGAGTTGTCAAAATCCATAAGCTCAATAGCAAAGCAATCATTATTATCACATGGATTTTTATTAGAACTAAAAACATTGGATTTGATTGTTTCATCATGAACAGTCATTGTAAGATCACCACTAGCACAATCAATTAGCGTCTTCGACGTGGCTAAAAACGGTCTCCCTACGATAAGAGGTATCTCCCTATCCTCATCTATATCAAGTATAACGAAATCAACAGGGAAGATAAATTTATTAACTTTCACTAGCACATTCTCTAAAATATCTTTTGGGTAAACTAAAGATCTATCGGCTAATTGAAGAGTTATAGCCGTCGGTTCAATTTCTCCTAACCCAAGATTTTTAAAAGTGGCATAGGGGATAAGATTAATGCTAGCGCCTAAATCAATGAGGGATCTAAAATTTTTACCTCCTATAGTTGAAGGAATAGTAAACTTACCTGGATCGCCGAGTTTTTGTGGAAGGGGCCGAGTAAGAATTGCACTAATTTGCTCCGTGAGTTGAATCATCTCGTTCCCTTGCAATTTCTTACTTTTCTTCACGAGGTCCTTGAGGAACTTCACCCACTTTGGCATCTTTTGAAGTGCTTCAATGAAAGGAATATTTATGCGAATTTCCTTCAACTTGTCCAAAAATCTTTGATATTCGGCATCGAGCTTTTTCTTTATAAACTTTTGAGGATAAGGAATTTGAGGGACTTGTAAAGACACCGTTGATGGTGGCTCTTCATGAGTTGATTCTTTTTCCTCATTCACTTTCGGCTTCTCGATTACCGTGTTTCTCTTCTCTTTTCGTGGGGCCTCCTCCAATTTCTTACCGTTCTTCAAGGTGACTGTTTGGCACGTCTCGACCTCGATCTTTTTCGTTAGCAATCGTTGTGGATATGGAATTGGTTCGATCCATTCAGCTACAGTGAATTGCGGCTTTATTTGAATTTCTTCCCTTTTTTCGATCTTGACATCGATAGCTTGGCATGTCTCGAACTTTTGCTTTCGAGGATCTTCCGTATTCGATGGCAATGCTCCCACCGGACGGTTCTCTTGATTCACAACGAATTGAGCAAATTGATTCTCCAAATTCCGCAGCGAGGCTTGGGTAGCGGTCATGAATCGGGCCAATATCTCATCCGTGTTTGATTTATGGGCCCGGTGGATTGTTGCCTTGATATCTTTGTGGAGGAGGGGCTTGATTTTGGAATTGACCTTGAGGTCTTTGATATCCTTGGCCTTTTTGATTTCCTCCATATTGCCCTTTTGATCTCCACCCTTGATTTTGGAATTGACGAGGCGCATTGTTGACGTAGTTGAGCGACTCCACATCTTGTTGGCATTGGAGCGTGTAATGATTTCCATCGCAAATTTCACATGGAGAATCAATTGCTTGGACTTGTTGTGGTGTATTTGCTTTGATGTGTTGTAGAAGGAGTTGATTTTGTTGAGCAATTTGGGTCACTTGAGCTTGAAGGGCCGTAATTGCATCTAACTTCGACACTCCGGGAATTTTTTTGGCTCCACTAACCGTCCTCTCCCTTGACTTGGCAAACCGATTTTGTGCAATTTGATCCAACATGATAAATGCATCCGGTATCGATTGACTCATGAAATTACCCCCGGTTGATGCATCTAAGACGGTTCGTGCATTCTCGTTAATCCCTTGGTAGAAGATGTGGATTTGCCGCCATTGTTCGACTCCATTTGTTGGACACTGCCGTAAAAGAGTTTTAAATCTCTCCCATGCCTCATATAATTGCTCGCCTTGATCTTGGACAAAATTATGAATTTCTCGTCGGATTCTCTGTCCTTTTCGGGTAAGCTATAAACTTTCATGAAAAGGTTGAGGAGTTGAGGCCACGACGAGATAGAGTGGGGGGCTTGGGACATCAACCACTGGTGAGCTCTTCCTTGTAAGGAGTGCTTGAAGAGAATTAATTGAAGGGCCACTTGGGAAACGCCGTTTTGACGGTGGGAATTACAGGTATTTAGAAAATTGACAATGTGAAGATGGGGATCTTCACCCGCCAATCCACTAAATAGCCCGTTATTTTGGAGCATCGTCAAGAGGCCTTGCTTGATCTCAAAATTGTGCGCCTCAATAGGTGGATATTGGATGCTCGGGTGGAATCCGTCAAGAGTAGGGATTATGTAGTCTTGAAGTGCCCGTGGCCGAACTGCTGGCAGTAATGGAAGTTGAGGGGGTGGGTCTTGGACTTGGTTTCCATTGGCATTGAGTAAATTACCCTCTGCGTTTCCGCGTTCTTCGTCCTCCATTGTATTGGTTGCGCGTTGACGTCTCCTAGCGGCTCGAAAAGTACGTTCGATTTTGGGATCAAACGGTTCTCTAGCAAGATCGAGTCTCCTACGCATACACAGTACCTAAAACAAAAATAAAATAAAACAAAAATTAAATGGGTGAATCGTGAAAATTGTTCAAATCTAGAGCTAGAGTAAAATAAATAATTAAAATATTCCCCGGCAACGGCGCCAAAAACTTGTTGGTTGGAATACCTACACGCAAGTGCACGTATCGTACAAGTAATAAAGTGGACAGTTAAGTCCGGATATCGATCCCACATAGAATATTTAATTATTTAATCCTAGACGCTAAATTCTACCAATAATTATCAAGCCCACCCTACACAGTCGACTTTAGAGAGAATTAACTAAATTAAAAAGCAAATTAAAAAGACAAGAGCACGAAAGCAATTAAAAACGAAGGTGTAATCAGAGTAAACAAGCCTAGGATTTTATTCTTCCCCCTATGTGATTATTACTCCCCCAATTCCTTCAATTATGCAAGCAATTAACCCCGATTATGAACCTGAGATGCTAACATAATCATAACCCGCTTTCGCGTGTATTACGATTCTAATACTCTAGATTCAATTACTATATTCCCATGCAATTAATTCTAGAACACAGTATTAAGCACAAATCTCAATAATGGCTACCTAAGAGATTAACTATATTCCTATGTTAATACCACAAAGGCTCTTCTACCACAGTTCTAATTATTAACCCGATCTTCCGATTCATGCGATTAACAATAACAAAAAAGCACATAAAGTGGCCAGTTTCATGAACTTAATAAAACAAGTAGAAGAAATAATCCGGAATTAAAACTTGCATAAAATCATAGAAAAGGGTTCATAAATCCACACAGGGTTCCAAATAAAATCCTAGAAATAAGAAAATTAGCTACTCATGATTAAAGGAAAAACGAAAATAAAATTAATCATAAACGATAAGTCTATGCTTGGAGTCTTTGAATTCTTCGTCTTCGTTATTGCTTTGTTGCTCTTGAAATAGCGTAAAAGATCCCCAATTGTGTGCTTGGCTTGGTTTTATATAGGGTGGAAAATTTGGAGAATAAGGTGTTTTCCTTGTGTAATTAGGATTCCTTTACTGCGCCTTTTTGTAATCTCAGACGGTCGTCCCGAATTTTGCACTAAAACTCGGACGGCCGTCCCAAAACCAGAGGCTTCTTCTGTTTCTCCGACGGTCGTCCCAGTTTTAAGTGTAAATCCGGGACGGCCGTCCGGGGCTAATTTCTTCAGATTTTTGATTTCTTCACTTTTGGCCCATATTTTCTCCAAAATTGCAGGTTTGACCCCATACTTTTCCAATTCTTCAATTTGTACCTAAAATACAATAAATCAACTTTTAAGCACCAATTATCGTTAAAACGCACCAAAAGCTCAAACAAAAAGGTACAATAAAGTTAAAAAATATACACTTAACAAGCGGCCCAACGTGCTCGCTCGTTCTCGAAGGAGATTGCAAACATGTTATCGACACAACGTTGCTTCCAATAATTTGAGAGAAATTGGATTTTTAGGAAATAGAATTGGAAAAGCTTATTGCAAAGTAGGACGGATCGGATCGAAATCAAACTCTTCTGGTTTCTAGATTACGAATTGGAAATCCAAATTGAATTTCACTTTATTAACCAAACAACCCTTAAAGTTAACTAAAAATAATTCACCTATTAGATAGTTCGGACCCTCAAAACAATTGAAACTTGCCACAAAATCTTTACGAAAAGTTTAAAAACCAAGTTTTCCTTCTTTAATTTGAAGAAATAGACCACTGCCCCCAAATCCAAAAAAATCTTTAGACATGATGGAGTGGATTGAAATTTCTAAAAGAAAAATCTTTGATTGAAAACGGACCTGAGATTCAGAAATACATAATTTGGGGGTTAAAATGTATTTTCTTAATGTATATCACAGTTTTGAGAGAAACTTTAAAACTGCGGACTGAAATGCAGTTTTCAGAATCATTGGGGGAACTAAATCTGATTTTAAATTATTTCAAATTAACCCCGCCTGATTCAGCAATAACCCAAACTAGGGGTCCAAATTTATAATAAATACATTTTCATAAATGTAACAACACTTGTGAGTGTAATAATAATATTTTCATATCGTTATGCAGCTAAGTCAATACATCAACACAATTTTCGTGCCGAAAGATGGTCAGATTCCAATAGATATTGATTGCTTGGCGGATCAAGGATCTTTCTTTAATTATCATCCTTTAATTACGAAAAAAATAAAGAGATAATAGAATTCATTTTCAGTTTGAATTAGTCCCCCTTTTCACTTGGTTTTGGTCTTCTTAGCACACATATTAGACTTTAGAGGTGCCTTCAGTATTGACTGATAAAGTCTTTATGAAAATTAATTGTTCTTTACACACTATTTGTCCGATTTTTAAGTGATAAAAGACTTTAAAACTGAAGTCTCCTACTCTTGTCTTCATTCATAGTTATGTGGAGTTCACCAAAATAATTTTCCAGCAAGCTAAGTAAAATAATGATGGGGAAAACTTGTTGTTGCATTCTTGCATGTATAGTCTTATTCCAAATGTCTTATTATTGCCTAGCCATAAAATATTCAACCACCCTCGAAACCGATAAATCTGCTCTTCTTGCCTTGAAATCTCATATCACTTTGGATCTTGATAGCATACTAGCCAAAAATTGGACCAATTCGAGCTCTGTCTGCAACTGGATTGGCGTCACTTGCGGTTTGCGCCATGATCGAGTAACTGCGTTGAACATTTCCTACATGGGTCTTTCAGGCACAACTCCACCTCAACTAGGAGATCTCTCGTTCCTTGTTTCACTCGATTTTAGTTACAACCTTTTCAGTGGTGTCCTGCCACAACAATTGTCTCTTCTACGCAGATTGAAGTTTATTTCTCTCGAAGTAAACAACCTGAGTGGAGAGATACCATCGTGGTTAGGCTATTTACCTAAACTCGAGCATCTATCTCTATGGAATAATAGCTTTACCGGTTTCATTCCAAGTTCCCTCTCTAATCTGACAAATCTACAACTTCTTGATTTTTCTTTAAATTCTCTTCAAGGAAATATTCCGCAGGAGTTGGGGAGGCTTCACAATCTGCAGACTTTATTCATGGAATTCAATCATCTCTCGGGTCCTATACCGTCATCCATATTTAACATGTCGGCCTTAAAAGCTATATCTTTCACACAAAATGAATTGAGTGGCAGCCTTCCAAGTGACTTGTGCAGTCATCTTCCACGCCTTGAACGAATTTACCTATCGGAAAATCAATTGAGTGGCGAAATTCCATCAAATCTATCCGAATGTTCACAACTTCAAATTGTCGGACTGTCTTACAACTCCTTCAGTGGACAGATACCACGGGAAATTGACAATTTAAAATTTCTCCAAATGTTATATCTTGGGGGTAACAACTTAAGTGGTATTTATTATACTTCACATTACTCCTTTAAATTCAACCTGGATAAATCTCAATAGTCATGAAAGTATTTGTCTAACAGTTGTTTTGTGTGTTTCCATATATAGGTGTTATCCCGTCCGAGATTGGCAATCTTCAAAACCTAGCTCAATTAGCCATTGAACGAAACCAGATTAGTGGCACAATTCCCCTCACTATCTTCAATATTTCTTCTCTCCAAGGTTTAAACTTACATCAAAATAAACTGTCTGGAAGCCTCCCAAAAGATATCGGAAATCTTACAAATCTCAACCAATTGGCCATCTCGTACAACAACTTAACAGGTGTGACTGAGAAAATATATTGGAATACTTTGAGTTTCTCCATATTCGCAGTGTTTAATATTTTAATATTAATTTTTTTTTTTTTTTTTTTTGTAATCTTGACAGGTAGTTTACCGCGACAAATTGGCAAATTGTACCAACTGGAAACATTAATATTAGGCTCTAACAACTTCACTGGTTTTATTCCATTGGAGATCTTTAACATGTCAAATCTTCGAATCATTTCACTTTCAGCTAATAGTCTGCCAGACAGTCTTCCAACTAATTTCGGTCACGGGTTACCTGTTCTTGAAGAACTTTACCTCAGAGGAAATGGCCTCAGTGGATCAATACCTTATTCGATCACTAACTGTTCCAAACTCAGAGTTATCGAACTCAGTGATAACTTTTTCACTGGTTTTGTTCCTCATTTTCTCGGTAACCTAAGAATGCTTGAACGTCTACACCTGTTAAACAGCAATCTAAGGACCGAATCAACTTCTTTAGAATTGAGCTTCATAACTTCTTTGACTAATTGCCGATCTTTGATTGTGCTCAGAATTGCTGATAATCCTCTAGAGGGCATCATTCCAGCTTCCGTTGGGAATTTATCTACCTCCCTCCAAGCATTCGATGCCTCCAATTGTAAAATTAAGGGTATCATCCCTTCAGAAATCGGCAATGTAAGCAGCCTCGTTACACTTTCTTTATCCGAAAATGAGTTGTCCGGTAACATTCCACCTACTGTTAGCCATTTGCAAAACTTTCAAGGACTATATCTAAAGAGCAACAATCTGATAGGTTCCATTCCAGAGGGTTTTTGTGATCTACATAGCCTGGTTGAACTATCTTTAAGTCGTAATAAATTTTCCGGTCGAATACCGGAATGTTTAGGAAATATCACATCTTTGAGAAGTCTCATTCTAGATTCAAACATGTTGACTTCAAGCATACCATCAAGCGTGTGGCGCCTCAAAGATCTGCTGGAGCTAAGCTTATCCTCGAATTCCTTGATCGGATTTATATCTCCGGAAATAGGTAATTTAGTGTCAGCAAACTACATCGATCTATCAATGAACCACTTGTCGGATTCTATTCCAAGCACAATCGGAAATTTAATATCTTTGAGTGGTATGTCTTTGGCACATAATCTACTGGAAGGTTCTATTCCCGAGTCCGTAGGAAAGATGATCAGTTTGGAAATTATAGACTTGTCTTACAATAACCTCTCTGGTTCAATTCCAAAATCTTTGGAAAAACTTCAATACCTTGACTACTTTAATGTCTCTTTCAATGCTCTGAGAGGAGAAATTCCCACCGGTGGTCCTTTCGTAAACTTCACTATAGAGTCTTTTAAGGGTAATGAGGCATTATGTGGAATCCCAAGGTTCAATCTTCCAATTTGCAATCATAATGTTTCTAAACACAAGTCAAAGATGAAAAGGGTGCGATTAGCTTTATTTATTCTTGTTGGAGTTGTTGCTTTGGTCTCGCTTATCTCTTTGGCCTTCATTTTCATAAGATACAAACGAAAAAGTAAGACAGTCAATGAGATTGACGGGCTGGGAATTCCCACAGTACCAGAAAGAATTTCGTATTACGAACTCCTACAAGCAACTGAACAATTCAGTGAGACAAATTTACTGGGCATGGGGAGTTTTGGTTCTGTGTACAAAGCCGTTCTAAGAGATGGGAAGATTTTGGCTGTCAAGGTCTTCAATTCGCTATCAGAAGTTGCTTCTAAGAGCTTTGAAGTCGAATGTGAGGTATTACGACACATCCGCCACAGAAATCTCACCAAAGTCATGAGCAGTTGCTCTAACGAGGATTTCAAGGCACTGGTACTTGAATACATGCCAAATGGAAACCTCGACAAATGGCTATATGCACACAACTATTGCTTGGATCTAATGCAAAGATTGAACATAATGATTGATGTTGCATGTGCGTTGGAATATCTTCACCATGGATATTCAACTCTCATTGTTCATTGCGATTTGAAGCCAAGCAACGTGTTGTTAGATGAAGAAATGGTTGCCCATGTCAGTGATTTTGGGATCGCGAAATTGTTGGGCGAAGGCGAGAGCACCATTCACACCGACACCTTAGCAACAATGGGTTACATTGCACCAGGTTAGTTAATATTATCACTTTCACTCATACTATTTATATATTTTTTCGATTGGATTTCACTTCCGATTTATTGCATTATATGATTGTTGTTGGACAGAGTATGGTTTGGAAGGGCTAGTTTCGACAAGGTGTGATGTTTATAGCTATGGAGTGATGGTGATGGAAACCTTTACGAGAAAAAGGCCGAGCGATGATATGTTCGGTGGAGATTTAACCTTAAAGAGTTGGGTTCAAAGCTCACTTAACAACAAGTCATCAAGTGAAGTTATAGATGTCAATTTATTGAATACGGAAAACGATCAAGGCTTTGAGAAAAACGTGCAATGTGTGTCGTCAGTACTGGAGTTGGCTTTAAGGTGTTGTGCAGACTCTTTTGGTGATAGAATAAACATGAAAGAAGCTCTAACCGAGTTGCAGAAAATCAAGGTTGGTTTCCACGCCGGGATTAAACCTGAAACAGAGTTGTAAGGCCTCATACAACTCTGTTGTTGATAATCTTGTCCTAGTACAGCTTCAACAATGTTAATTAAGCATTTATCTACAATAAACTGTGTAATAATTCAAGGAAGAATAATCCTGTATGTTAAGCACTTGATGATGTGTTTGTGTGGTGGTAGATTTTGTAATTTGAGAAAGTTTTGTAATATCAATCAGTCCGGAAAAAAATAAAAGTAGAGGCCGAATTGTAATTTGTAATCTGAAACTTAAATAAGCACCGCCGTCGTCTCAACCCTCTCCTCAATTGAATTTTTTTGTCCCCGTGACGGAAGGCAAAATTAATCCCACAATTCCCGCACAAATTTCCATAAATCAATCCGATATTCGCGGAGACAGGTCACCAAGTTGGAGGTTCAATTGCTAATGTTGCCGGAGGTTTTGCAAACTAACTGTGTTGACAATTATACACAATACGAACTTTGGAATCAATTAAAAACTTAATTAAGTTTATATCAACTGGGTGGCGTTTGCAAAAGCTTATTGAAATTGATTACGAGCTTCTTTTTTCTCATAAGTTATTTTCAGGTGTTTGTAAAATTAAATTTTGCTTTTGTTTCTCTAAAAATAATCTGCTTTAAGCAATTTTTTTAAGCGGTGATTACAAATAAGCCCATCAATGAGTACTTATTCATAAACAGATCCAGACAAAAATCTCCTTTACCAATAAGTCCACACATGATCCAGATTTTTGTAAAGGACTAAAATAACCCCTTATATTTTAATATGCTCCAATTTCATCCTTAACTTAATTTAACCTCTTTGACCCCAAATTTTACAAATTATTCAATTTTGACCCAAACCTTTTTTTTTCAAAAAAAAAAATTCCGCCGGATTCCGGCGTTGACCGGCTGTCAACGCCGGTCTCCGGCGTTGACTTATAAAAAAAAAAATCTTCCGGATTATTTTTGCCGGTTTCCGGCATTGACTTTTTCGAATTTTTTTTCTTTTTTCTTTTCTTTCTTTCTGTAACTTTTTTTTTCGTTTAAACAACAATATTGCTGTGATTGACAGTAATATTAACTATATTACTGTTAAATACAGTAAAATTAACTAAATTACAGTTTAACACAAAAATATTGCTATATTAATCTCTAACACAGTAATATTAACACAACAAAACTCATTATTATTGTGTAATAGAATAATATTACTATGTTGACCGTTCAACAAATGTAAACATAATAAAAAACTAAAAGAATTAATATTATTGTGAGTGACTGTAATATTACTATAACAACAGTAATATTACAATAATAGACAGTAATATTATTACGTTACTCCGTGAATAACTCAAACAAACAAAAAAATCCAAATAAAATAATAATATTGATGTGGTTGACAGCAATATTACTATAACAACAGTAATATTACCGTCAACCACAGTAATATTATTGTGTTTACTGTAATATTACAATAATAGACAGTAATATTATTACGTTACTCCGTGAATAACTCAAACAAAACAAAAAACCCAAAAAATAATAATATTGATGTTATTGACAGTAATATTATTGTGTTTATAGTTATTTTACTGTCAACAACATTAATATAATTACGTTGACTTGTCAACAAATCAAAAAAAATAAGAAAATAACAAAAAATTAAAAATAATAATATTACGGTAATATACTGTCAACGGCAGAACAATTACATAAATATATTGTCAATGGCAGTACAATTACGTTAATTAACTATCATTGGCAGTATAATTATGTTAATTTACTGTCAGTGGCAGCACAAGTACGATAAACGTTTAGCGGCAGACGTAAAAAAAATTAAAAAAACACTAAAAAATTCACCGCCGGAAACCGGCGAAAAAATCCGGAAGAAAAGAAAAGAAAAAAGAAAAAAAAAAAATCAACGCCGGAATCCAGCGGCAAAATATTTTTGAAAAAAAAAAGTTTTGGGTCAAAATTGAATAATTGGTGAAATTTGAGGTCAAATTGAGAATAAATTAAGTTAATGATTAAATTGGAGCATATTAAAGTATCCTAAAAAAAAAGTCAAAATTGAATTTTTGTGGTCAAAATTGGATTTTTATGGACAAAATTGATTAAATTGGGGTTACAATTAAGAATTGGGTATAAAGGTTGAGGGTAATATTGACATATACATGAATGTTTCCTTTATTGATAATAAATATTAAAGGGATTAGTTTATTGGTGAAAAAGATATAACCCCTAAACCTAGAATAATAAAGATGCTTGGTTGGAGACTTATGCACAAAAACCTTTTTTTTTTTAAAACACCCCTAACCCTGCTTTTTCTATTTAAGTTCATTTTCTGAAATATTTGCAAACACCCCCAACTCTTAGAAATAAGCACTTAAAACTGACTTAACTCACAATCATTAATTTCTGCTTTTAAATAATTATTTGCAAACAACACCTAAAACATTAGAAATGATTTGTATCAACTATTCAACTAACATTGGGCCTATAATTTAAAATTGCAGTCCCAAATTCAACTCTCATTGGGCCCCAAGCTTCAAATTACAAGCCCAAATCCAACTCGTGTTGGGCCCCAAACTACAAATTACATGCCTTATAATTCGACCTTCATTGGGCTCAAAACTTTAAATTGAAGACCTTATAATTCGACCTGCCTTAGGCCCCAAAATTTAAATTGAAGACCTTATAATTTGATCTACCTTGGGCCCAAAATCTAAAATTCCAGACCCAAATTCAACTCGCAGTGGGCCCATAAGTTCAAATTACAGGCCCAAATTCTACTTGCCTTATGCCAAAGACTTCAATTTCCAGGCCCATATTCTACCAGCCTTGGGCCCAAGACTTCAATTTTCAGGCCCAAATCCCAATACTTCAAATTTCCAGACCCAAATTACTCTAGCATTGGGCCCAAAACTTGAAATTGCAAGCCTTAAACTGTGCAAGGGCTACAAGATTGCAGCCCGGAGATTCAACTCATTCGGCCTAAAACTCCAAATTACAGGCTCAAATTCAACTCTCATTGGGCCCATAACTTTATATTGGAGGCCCAAATGCAACTCGCATTGGGCCCAAAACATCAAATTTGAGCCCCAAATTCAACTCGCATTGGGCCCAAAACCAACTGTTACAGGGGTTAATTTATAATCGAAAATTTTCCCACCGTACGGCCTGATTTACGCACTAAATCAGCCAGCCCACTCAACAATTCTTCACACAAACATATTGCACCATCGTTGTATCAAATGAACAGCAACAATCACAAGTATGCACCGGAAATCGAACAACACAAGCAATTTACGAGCAACGCTCAACCCTTATAGATTCACTCATGAATAATACAAGGAAAGCCCTTGGTGCACACAACGAATCCTAACAACAGATGCTAACAATCGCAATCTGATTCCCACTATCTAAATGGGTCGGATTTGTGCACTCAAGGGCCTATAAATACAAGGTACAATGCAGTTTACACACTAAACTGCCAAGGGACACATGGCGGCACGCAGGCCAACCACTTGGCTCACTAATACAACATAACAGGGACGGTTTTCTAAGTCATTGTTGATGTCAACCGCTCAGCAACTGCCTTCCGTAACTTCCCAAGTCAATAAGCTGTCCGGCTTGCCCAATCGGCACGCGCGCGCGCGCCTAAGGATCGATTCTGCCCGCACGCGTGCTATTCAGCCTGGTTGCCTTGCCCACACTTTCCATGCCTTTCTCGGCCAAGCATCTCAATGTTGCCAATTACTCAAAACCCTTGCCTTGTAGTTCTCCGCCAAGCACCTCAATACTTGCCCATCTCTCGGCCACCGTTTGGCCCATGCGTAGCATGCCTTGTGCCAACACTTCTTGGCACCACTTCAACTATAAATCCATCTATGGGGGTAACAGACCTCCCCCACCAATGGTGTTCGACGCCCTCGTCGAACTGTTCACTCGCTTCAGATTTTTCCAATACTTTGCCAACTCGTCTTCAAACTGCCACAGATTAACTGCCTTCTCCCAAGTAGCATCGTCCGTGTTAAAGAATATTATATTATAGAACTCCTGTAATATTAGGATTCTAATATGATTGAGTTACCTAGATCAGTTTTTGATTTAGTTACCTAGTTAAACTCTATTACCTCATATTATTTCTCTATATATATTCCATGTAAATCAACCCATAACATAATGGGGGTTTCTATTATCACTACAAGAAATTTTGGTTTCAGTGATGATTTTGTATGGTCGTTAAAAGTTAGAAAATGGTAGCTAAAACTTCTAGCGACCAAATTAAGCTTGGTCACCGGTGGTCACAACAGGGTAGTTACTAAAAGTACTCAGTGACAAGAAAATTAATTGGACGCTAAAAGATGAGATTTTGCGGCGAACTAATAATGGTTACTAAAAATATAATTATTAACGACCAGTTTTTGACTCGCTAATGTAAATTTTATGGTGGCAATAATATTAACATGGTTGCTATAGCAACGTATATAGTGGCCATATAACTTTGGTCGCTAAATGATATATACGTATGGTGACCATATTTTATTGTTGCTATAGGATATATATTTGGCCACCACATTTTTTGGTTGCTACATAATATACATATAGTGACGGTATATATTGGTTGATAAATAATATATCTGTTGGTAGCTAAAATATATACATATCGTGACCATATTATTGGTTGCAATAATTTTTACATGGTTTCGACAATTATTAAATTTACTGTCCAATTCACACCAATAATTAATTGGTTGCATTAATCATTATTGTTTATTTGTAACAGGGTGTAAAAAAAATTAAAACAAAACTAAAGATTGCATATTTACATATTATCAAACAAATGTGAATATTATAATTTCAATCCATCATACTCAATACAATAATAAATCAATCATTCCAAAATAAAAAGAAAGATTACTATAATTATTTCATAATAAATTCCACTTCATAAATTGTTGAGCGACAAAAAATATGACTTCCACCATAACGTTCTTTCACTTCATCAAACAGTCCAACCTAAAAAAGGGAAAAAAAAATCAAATAGAAAATAAGAAATCATATGATAGAATCAATTTCAATCATTTGTCACTTAGTAGCACTCATAATTCAATAATGTATCTGGGCTCTTGGCTCTTGCATAAGTAGCTACTTACCTCGTCCAGTCCATGTGTTTAATGTCATTGCCCGAGAATTATTAGTTAGGACGGAAATTGTAATTCATTTGTTCTACCTCATATAATAATTGAAGAAGCTTAAAAAAAGAATT